AATTCACTTTGAAAAATTTTTTTTTAAATTATTATTTTCTGTCGGGTAAGACACTTGACTTTGTTCATTTGAAAAGGTCCCCACTATCTGTTGGGTCTGTTGACTAGGATTATGGTTAAATTGCATGTATGCAGATGCCTGGAACCATTCTAGCTGCTGTGTTCCTTGACCTCCAGATGCTGCTCCAGAAAGTCTTTGAATTCTCTATCACAGCTCTCTGTCCATGTAGTTCCCCAGGTATTGCAGACCATCTCAAATGGCACCAGACACCCATGTCCAGAAAACTGAATCAAACCTGTAATATGCAAATTACCACTGAGGATCATAGACACATTCCTTACGAAAAAGCATGTAAATTTTTTGACATCTACAGTGAGGTATATGAATCTGGAACCAAAAGCCACCCAAAAGACCTGGGTAAGCTTGTTCAAGTGAGCTTTATCTAATCACAGTATGACATGTAATTTTGTTAGACTCAGTTGTTCCTTAAACTCCTTGATCTTAAGCTATCTAATGTTTCATATTGTCTGTTCTGAACAGACGGACTTTCAGCTTCTGAAGAAGAACAATATTTCAGTCTACAGAAGAAAATGGCCTAATATGTCATATCTATTATCCATCCCTGCCAAGAGAGAAAGGTCTAAAAGAGCACATGAGAATAAGGTGAAGGATAAAATTATTTGCAAGTTATCTGAAAAATTATTTGTAATATTTAGTGGAGGTGGTTATGCCAGTAATAGTCTAAGGAATACAATGAAACAGATAGAGAAGAGCAGTGAAATAAAAAATCCAAGCAGATACATGACTGTAATGACCAGATGTTGAAGTTGCTCATACTACAGCTTTAGAAATATTTTCATGAAATTTTGCTAGTGATTTTTTTTTTTCTGAAATTTATGTTTCTCTTTCATTATTATTATCATCATCTATTTCTGCTTTTAGCCATGCTGTCTTCATGGATGGGTGAAGAAGGCAAAAAGCATTAGCCTCTGCCGAGGTGAAAGCCATCCAGCTGGCCCTGGACATTGCTGAACGAGAAAGGTGGCCAGTACTTTATCTCTATACTGACTCATGGATGGTGGCAAATGCCCTGTGGGGGTGGTTGAAGCAATGGAAGCAGAGCAACTGGCAACGCAGAGGTAAACCCATCTGGGCTGCTGCACTGTGGCAAGATATTGCTGCCAGGGTGCAGAACCTGGTGGTGAAGGTACATCATGTAGATGCCCATGTACCCAAGAGTCGGGCTGAGTAGACTGCAGGGTTGGAGGAGGTATCGGTTGGAGCTTGGTCGGGCTTGGGGGCTGAGTTATCGGTCAGCTGGTGCTGAGGTGTTGTATTCTCTTCCCTCGTTATTTCCTTTATCATTATTATCACTGGTGGTAGCAGTAGTGATTTGTGTTATACCTTAGTTACTAAACTGTTCTTATCTCAACCCGTGGGAGTTGCATTCTTTTCGATTCTCCTCTCCGTCCCTCTGAGAGCAGGGGGAGGGCAAGAAAAAGGGGGGAAGTGAGTGAACGAATTACCTGACTGGGTTTAAACCACAACAATGACACCACAAAGTATGGAATATCCTCTGGTCAGTTGGGGTCAGATGTCTCGACTGTGTCCCCTCCTGACTTCTTGTGCACCCCCAGTCTACTTCGTGGTGGGGTGAGAAGCAGAAACAGCCTTGACTGTGTAAGCACTGCTCAGCAGTGGCTAAAATATCCTCATATTATCAACACTGTTTCCAGCACAAATCACAGAATCAGCTAGGTTGGAAAACACCTTTAAGATCAAGTCCAACCATTACTGCAGGACTACCAAGACTAAACAATTATCACTGAGGGCCTCATCCATGTGGGTTTTGAACACTTCCAGGGATAGTAATTCCACCACTTCACTGGGCAGCCTGTTCCAATGTCTGACCACCCCTTCAGTGAATAAATCTGTGTCCCCACTAAGGGGTATTTCTGGAACACGCTGACCCAAAGGATCCAATGGGCAGGCATAGGCTAGGAAGGACAGAGGGCAGAGCAGGCAGGGAGAGCAGTGGGACATAGCTCCTCACTAGCTATGAGGAAAATTAACTATCCCAGCCAAAACCAACAGACAAGTTAACTAAACTCGTGGTTTTGTTTTTGGTTGCTTTTTTTTTTTTGTTGTGGTGGTTGTTGTTGTTGTGTTTTGGTTGGTTGGTTGGTTTTGGTTTGTCTTTTTTTTCTCTTGTGCACTGAAGGATAAACTCCTTGGTTAAAGACAAAGTAGTTTTTGTTCCATTTTAACTTCTGTAATAGAACTCATTTCTGTGCCACCCTTTCTGAACAGAGGAAACAAGAACTGGATGTAGAAGTAATATAACTTCCCTAATCTGATTTAGTATTACTATTTCTGGCCCCAGAGATATCCCATTAAAATCTTTGGCTAGAATACTGGTTTTTATAATTCATAGTCTGCTGGCTATCCAGGACACACAGAATTACTTTACAGAATGGAATATTTTGTCCTCTAATATGCATGTAATACAATATTTAGGCTTGCAAATTTACATTTGTCTGTATTTTATTATAGCATATGTTTAAAAATGCATTCAATTGCCTGGCTTATCAGATGAGGTATTTTCTTATTTTACTGCTTGTGCTTGTTATTTAGTAGTTCATCAGTTCTTGTAGCAGTAAAAATTTTATCATTAATTTTTTTGTTTTATACTGCTTTCCAGGTAAATGATAAAAATCTTAAATAATCTAAAAATTACCAGACCCTATAGGACTGTATAACCATACTTTCTTAATGACAGTTTTCCTAATTATGCTCACACTCTGAGATTTGTCAGGAAGCTTCAAATACCCTTACAGATGATTCTAGCTGCTGTAAGCAGTTCTTTTTCATACTAAAATGTTATATAGTACTAAGTCATATATTTATAGAACCCTTTAAGTACTTTACTACAACAGTGTAACTTCTGTATGCAAACCTGTATTTTATTCTAAAAGATTAAATTTCATAATGTTTGTTAATGGTACTTCTCAATATTATTACCTTCTTCAGAATTGCTGTTTGTGTCCAAGAAAGTGTTCCACTGAGCCACCAGTGAAAATCCCAAGGGGCATTTAGGCAATTGAGCAGTGAAAGATCTAAGCTAAAGGCCGTTTCCCAGAGCTACATAGGCAAAGTGTGAAGTTCGAGACTCCCAAGAATGTTTCAGTTGATTTATGGCCAAATCATTTACTTGTGCACATGTACCACTAGCAGTAGAAAAAGCACAAATTTTCTGAGAAAATAAAATGCCACCAGCAGAGGACATTTGTTTGGTATCAAAATCTTAGATCAATAAGCCTTCATGAAAATTAAGAAAAAGATTCAGCAAATCCAGCCTTGGATATTGGCACACCTATTGCAATTTTACAACACTGGTGACATAGCCTGTGTAATGATTTGAATCTCACCAAAAAAATAAGAAAAGTGACCTGTTTAACTGAGTGTGGTTCATTAAAATGACTGTGTTTTGTTTCCATAAATACTATGTTGGCAGAAGTATGGTATGGATACAGTATGAGCGGAGCAGCTCAAAAAAGGAACATTTTTTTCTTAGCTAGCTCGTTTGTCTTTCAGGTAGCATATAACTGTCTAAAAAAAATTTTGAATCAAAAGTGCTAAATAAATTGGTTCTGCTGATTCAGTGGTGAATGCCATTATCCTTCTATAGTGTTGTAAGTGGTTTTTATAAAGCTGCTGAGATTTATCTGAGTTATGTGTTTGTTAAGTGATTAAAATATTTTTTTTCTAGGCACTGTACACCACTTAACAGTTCAAGTAGTCTGGAAAGTGATGCCACAGACCATAAACAAACTAAGTATATCGTCCAAAAATATGAACCCAGTATCTCCTTAAACAACAAACTAGTCACATTTTTTAAGTTATAAACTATTTCAGACTAATTAGTAGCTACTTTCAGGAGAAAAAAAAATCTGATTATTAAATTAAAGTTGAAATGTAGCATGGATGATGTCTGTCCGCTCTAAAGAGTATTAGACTGAAGGAGTGATGACATGAACTGGCAATGTGTGCTTGCAGCCCAGAAAGCTAACTGTATCCTGGACTGCATCTGAAGAAGTATGGCCAGTTCTAAGGAGGTGATTCTGCCCCTCTGCTCTTGTGAGACCCCACCTGAAGTACTGTGTCCTACTCTGGAGTCCTTAGTACAGGAAAGACATGGACCTGCTGGGGTGGGCCAGATAAGAGCCACAAAAATGATCAGAGAGCTGGAACACCTCTTCTGTAAACAAAGGCAGAGACAGTTGGGCTTATTCTGCATGGAGAAGAGAAAGCTCTGGGGAGACCTTACTGTAGCCTTTCCGTACTTAAAGGGGGCTTATAAGAGAGGTGAGGACAAACTTTTTTAGTAAGGCCTGTTGCAATAGTACAAGGGTTCATGATTTTAATCTAAAAGAGAGTAGATCAAGACTAGATATAAGGAATATTTTGTTTTGCAATGAGGGCGGCGAATCATTGTAGAAGGTTGCCCAGAGGTGGTAGATGCCCTGTCTCTGGAAACATTATAGGTGAGGCTGGATGGGACTCTTAGCAACCTGATCTACCCAAAGATGTCCCTGCTCATTGCAGGGGAATTGGACTAGATGACCTTTGAAAGCTTCTTCCAACCCAAACTACTCTATGATTCCATGTCCTCACCAATTTCACTTGGTTTCTGGGCTAGGAATTGGTGCCTGATTTGATTTTATTTTTTTTTAATCTAGCAATAAAGAGATGAACATTTTACATCTTTTTTATTTTTAATTAAAAAGGAAGTTTTCATCTCCAGATACCACTCTTTTATATGCTGTAAGCCAGGTGAAAAAAAAAAAAATAAAAAATACAAATCAGAATTCTCATTCTGTGGATTCTGGAGTTTTCCTTTTAAATCAGGTAATTACTAGGGAGGCACAAATGAATTTTTTGTGTACTGACTGAATTTCTCCATCTCTACTGCTAACTTGCACACTGTACCTTGTCTTCAGCTGTTGCAGGGCAAATCATTTCCTAAATATGAAAAATGGGATCTTCGACAAACAGGCAGTGGTAGAGGTGTAGATGGACAAATCAGTGGAGACTGTGATGGTGAAGATGGTTGCGGAGGATCCAGAAGTGGAGAAGTCAAGACAGTCCTGAAAATCACAGACTGTAAGTCCATGATTCTGTTTCCCTCATGAACTAAAATAATGAATTGGCATATTTTCTCCTAATACATACCACAGAATTACCTTGGAAAACTTGTCTGTATAAATTTACCAGTATTTAAAGGAATAGGACTGCAATTATAGGCTTTCTATGAGCATGGTATGAATATGAGTATCAGTTTCATCATAACATGTTAACACATATTTGGAATAATATAGGCTGACCTCAACAAAGTGTTTTAGTCAGGTAGAAAGTGATACAATCTCATATCCCTGTGAGTTACTCCTTTAATATAAAAGGTGTGGCAGTTAAGCAGAAAAGTTCTAATTTTTCATGGAACTATGGCCAAATATAAGGTTTAGTTTTGGTATCTGACTTTCATACAGAACTGTTAGAACCAATATACTGTAGCATTCAGCTGCTGTTACTTCTTACATGTCTTTCTGCTTTTCTTAATGTTTTTAGTTTTGTGGATTTTGTGTGTGTGTGCGTTTGGGGTTTTCTTGGTTTTGTTTTGGGGTTTTTTGTTTGTTTGTTTGTTTTCTGAAACACATTTGTAACATTTTTGCTCAAAAAACCATTTGTTCGTGCACTTCAGTGGCATGGAACTCCAAGCATGAGCAATTGGATTGATGCACAAGTAAGTTAACTATTTCTGTAATTGAGGATGCTATTCTGCATCTCTTATCTCTCTTCCCAGTGCAGAAATATAGGCAAAGATGGTAGGATCAGATACCTGGTACAATCAAAATTGCGTTTCTGCATTTTGCATTTTTCTTCTTGCATTTTGCATTGCAAAAGTCAATACTGATTGATAAAAAGTCAAGGTTGGTATCAATCCCTGAATTTACCTACATTTACTGAATCTGAGCATGCTCTGTGTTTCCAGGCTTGTCTGAGAACCCCTGATCCTTCTTGACTTGATTTTGGAAAGGGAGTTAGAAGTGTTGTCATAGAGAAGCTGTAGTGTATGCTTGCCCGATTCTGATTTAAACAATTGGAGAAATGAGACTGAACATTCTGGGGGATGCCTTAACAGGTCAGTTTGGAATCACCCTAAGATACTGTTGCACTGATACTAGTCTGTAGATTTTAAAGCCCTGATATAGTTTTTCTAGATGGGTTTTTAAGAGATCTGTAGAAAATTTTGGACATTTACTTCCTGCCTTCAGAGATTCAAATTTGAAAAGCAAAATTAGAGATCAAATACTTAAATATTTATAAATATTTAAAATACTTAAAACCAGATATACTTTGGAATACTGGACATATCAAATCTATTTGATAATGACACTCCATGGTATCAAAAGACTGTGAAATAGTCTTAGAATATGACTAGAGCTATTAAGTATTAAATGACAAAAACATTGCAAGAATAGTACATTTTCTTTCACCATCTTCTCCTACACTAGAATTTTCCTTATATTGACATATTTCATGTAATCTTTTTAAAATGTCAAAACCAGAATTAGTCTTCGCATTCTCTTCATGCTACATATATTATAAATCATTTGAATTATAAACTATGTAATAGGAATACTGAAGTCTGCATGTGATGCTGTTTCATTTGAATCTTTTCTAAGATACTATAGAACAAAATGATAAGTCTATACTGTTCAATATTATGATTTAGGCATATATCATGAGTTACTTTAACCTTCAATAAGCTGTTGTGATTTTATGGATTTATGCAAACATGCATTCATTACTTGGAATGCACCATAAAAGATGACTTGGATGTATACCAGAAAGAGTCCTTGACAATACTACTTTCTTCTGCTAGATTTACTGGTGATATTGCTTACTGGTCTTTGAAAAGCATGACTAAACTTCAGCTGAGCTTAGAATTTAACTGCAGTATGTCTGATCCTCAATGTTAGCTTGCTAGTTCTAGTGCCTTTTTTTTTTTTTTTTGTGGCCTTTTTTTTTTTTGCCTTTAGGAGCATAAAAATAGAAATGTTTGAGTATTCTTCTGTATTTAGATATGGTTTGTATTTTATCATGTATGTCATGGAAGACTAACCAAACTTGATTTGTTATAGAGAAATAACCCTAAATAAATTGATGTAAAAATGAAAAAAAAGACCCCACACTTGCAGTGTGAGCAAGATCAAAAAGTTAGATTTATTCAAATCCAATCCTTCATAAGCTTCTGGTTTGCAAACGCTTGTAATCTGACTCAGAATTCAAGCTCAAGAATTGCTGTACATCTGTACAATATTACTTTGTTTCTTCTGATATATAGCAGATCATTCTTCAGATTTTCCACTGTTACATGCTGTTTCTATGCATTATAAAACTGCAACTGAACTGGAGCACCAAATAGTTCAAATATGAATATGAACTAAAGTTTAGTGTTACAGTTTTAAACACATACTCTTGTATAGTCATTTTGTCTAAGAAGAATTTTTATGTAAAAAGAACTTTCAAGAAGTTTTAATAAACTGCAGAAACCAGATACAATCTTGTCATAGATAAGCATTGCTACAAGATTTCATAATGTATTTATGATTTTGGAAACTCAAGAAATAATTATAACAAAAGCAGATACGTTATTTTATGATTATTTCCTTTTAATATGTCACATTAAAAATCAGTGAAAGAAAGATTACTTACGGGGTTTAGTAACATACAAATTTTAACTGAATCCGTTATGCATATGAGTAATTCACTTTACCTTATACTCTTTTGATACATGGAGACATACAGATAGTAGTATTTTTTCCTCACCAAAGAAACTTTTTAGTTTTCAGTTCTGGGCAACTTTATGTTCTCTCATAATCAGCCAGGAAAGAAAGGGGGATTACTACCTATTTTGTACTATAACAGAGTCTCTAGCCCTAATGGAATCCTGGTATCCTTTTTCTTAGCTGTTCCAGACATTTTTCACCAAAGAAATAATCCTGTCTACAATGAATTCATAATCTTCATAATCTCATAAAATATGATACAGAAATAGATACTTTTAAGAACCTTGATTTGTATAAACATAAAGTGTAAAGACACATCTGCCCTTTTTTTGACACTGTGTCCTTTCCTTCTGAACATGTGTATGATCGTCAGACCTGGAAGGTGCAAGACCCTCAGAGGGGAAGTGAGGAGATATGTTTCTGCCAAGACAAACCTCTAGCAATATTATGTGAATATACAGACTCTGAAATAAAAGATTACTTACTTCTACACTCAGTGCCACAGATGTAAGAATTGTTTTCACTTAGTATTTGAGATTGACAATGGTGTGTTGACAGACTTTAGGCTTTAGAAGGCCAATGAAGACATTTAATGTGTATAATTTAGGAGTGATTGCCCTAGCATTACACTAGCTCTTAAAATATGTTGTATTTTGAAAAATTCTGGTGTTTGCATCAGTCAATCCTTACATTATATTCAGTGTTTTAGAGTTTGACAATTGTGCTTCCTTCCTATAAGTACTCTTAAAATATAGCAAATTGATGCAGTTATTTGAAGGAATGGTACTAGACAGGATAGTGTACTTTAAATATATAAAATAAACAGTAGTAGAAAGTCTTGACACTTCATTTGCTCGTTTTATTCTACTCTAAGCCAGGAGCTCCCCCAGGACTATTTCATGCATCACTAAGAATTACCTCCTCAAAAAACCCTGCAGAATGCAAGAGGTAATAACAACAAATACTCATCACCTATATATTGATTTGAATCTGTTCCCAAATAGCTCTGTGAGGAAGGGCTAATCCTGATATCACAGGTGCTCAATACCATCTATCAAAATTTTCATAAGACTTTTAGCAGGACCACTAATTTTCTGAAAAGTGCTCTACTGTTGCTTTATCTTTCTTTTTCCATTTTAACATGCAGCATAGATGATTATTTACTACAGCCAGAGGTCTCCTAGTTCAGAGCTTATATATGGAGAAATATAAAGGTTGTCTGTGGTTAAGGTATATACAGGGAAAGCTTATCTCTCACTTGTTTGATTTTTATCTCACCTGATATTCATCCTGAGGAAAAAAGTCTCCAAAATGTTTATTTCTAGGACTACTTAATCAGTATTTTCTTGTTCAGACTATGCAATAGAGTTAAAATAACTTAGAAAAGGTTTTATGTTGTGATCTCCATATAACGCTGCCAGGGATGGAGCATTCACAACCTCCCTGGGCAACCCATTCCAGTGCCTCACCACCCTTACAGTTAAAGAACTTCTTCCTTATACCTAACCTAAACTTCCCCTGTTTAAGTTGAAACCCATTCCTCCTTCTGTCACTACAGTCCGTAATGAAGCATCCCTCCCCAGCATCCTTGTAGGCCCCCTGCAGATACTGGAAGGCTGCTATGAGGTCTTCACGCAGCCTTCTCTTCTTCAAGCTGAAGAGCCCCAACTTTGTCAGCTTGTCTTCATTCAGGAGGTGCTCCAGCCCCCTGATCATCCTCGTGGCCCTCCTCTGGACTTGTTCCAACAGTTCCATGTCCTTTTTATGTTGAGGACACCAGAACTGCACACAATACTCCAAGTGAGGTCTCATGAGAGCAGAGTAGAGGAGCAGGATCACCTCCTTTGATCTGATGGTCACGCTCCTTTTGATGCAGCCCAGGATACAGTTGGCTTTCTGGGCTGCAAGCGCACTCTACCGGCTCATGTTCATTTTCTCATCCACCAACACCCCCAAGTCCTGTGCCTGGGATTGTTCCAACCCAGGTGTAGGACCTTGCACTTGTCTTGGTTGAGCTTCATGAGGCTGGCATCAGCCCACCTCTCAAGAGCGTCAAGGTCCCTCTGGATTGCATTCCTTCCCTCCAGTGTATCAACCCAAGCAAACAGCTTGGTGTCATCGGCAAACCTCCTGAAGGCACACTCAATCCCACTGTCCATGTCAGCGACGAAGATGTTAAACAAGACCTGTCTCAACACCAGTCCCTGAGGGACACCAGTCGTTACTGATCTCCAGCTGGACATTGAGCCATTGACCACAAGTTTTTGTGTGCGGCCATCCAGCCAGTTCTTTATCCACTGAGTGGTCCACCTGTCAAATTGACGTCTCTCCAATTTAGAGACAAGGATGTCGTGTGGGAAAGTGTCAAACCCATTACACAACCCAGGTAGATGACATCAACTGCTCTACCCCTGTCCATCAGTTCTGTAGCCCCATCATAGAAGGCCACCAAATTGGTCAGTCAGGATTTCCCCTTAGTGAAGCCATGCTGGCTGTCACCAAGCACCTTGTTGTTTTTCACGTGCCTTAGCATGCCTTCCAGGAGAATCTGCTCCAAGATTTTGCCAGGCACAGAGGTGAGACTGACTGCTCTGTAATTCCCCAGGTCATCCATTTTCCCCTTCTTGAAAATGGGGGTTATATTTCCCTTTTTCCAGTCATTGGGAACTTCACCTGACTGCCATGATTTTTCTAA